CAATGATATTACGCAGCGCCTGAAAATAGGCTTATTGGAAGTTACCTAGCTGGGGACTATTTTCAGGCTCTGCATGATATCATTGCGCCTGCTGCACCACTTGGTAATTCAGCAGCTGTTAAATCAATCAAGTGTTTTTACCATTCAGCGTGGAGATTTATCTCCATATCAGCAGTTGTGTAACTAGACTCCAAAGTGGCCCAAAAGCGACAGCAGATCCTTGTAGCTCCAGTCTAACAACTCTACAATTAACAATCTCTTTTTTGGCCTCCGTCTGAGCCTCTCCATCCCACGTTCACCTCCGTGGCCTGATGGAAGGAAGCTGAGCTGTTGCAGCATCGCAGCTGAAGCAGTGTTTTACGCATTAAGAGCTGTGCTGTCCAACGTAAACACGCAGCCACGAAGGACAGAGGAATAACAGTGCACCCTGTCCAGCATCTGTTTCCCAGACCTGGCTAATCAATCAGGGAGCTTCCAATGGGAGGAAGGGAACTGCTGTTGACAGGGTGCCGCTTTATATGGGCTGAACTGGCACGTCCATGATGGTGTTTACGCTCTGTGGTTGACCCATGCTGATGCCTTTCCTGTTTCTGTAGATTTTAGGTCATAAAGACCTCACGTCACCCACGCAGCGCTACATTGACAGCAAGGTGGTGCGCACCTGTACGGAGGGCGAGTGGCTGTCGTTTGACGTGACAGAGGCCGTCAGCGAGTGGCTGCTGCACAGAGGTAAAGGAGCGGGAGATTGTGGAAGCCAGTTTAGTGTTTATAGATCATTTATATATCAGTCCTACTGGGAAATCCAACTAAAATCAGCTTAAAGAATCCAAATTGAAGATCGATGGCTTTTAGTCCGTGTCTGTCTGTTAGTCTTCTCCAAAACATTGACAAAAGCATTACTTTTAGCAGGTATACTATACACTTTTCAAATTTACAAGCTTTCTCTTATGGGAGAATGGACCAAAAATACTGCCAGGAGTCATCTTCTACTCATGGATGTGTGTAAAAAAGAAGTGTGCTTAACTGTGCACTTGTAGTTCAAATCTTAAAAGTATGTTTTTAAGATAATATAATATTAATTAAAGTGTACTGACTATATCTAAGGTTCATAACACTTAAAAAAAGTGCACTTTTTTTAATAATGGCAAATTTTAAAAAAATATTTAAAACGCATTTTAATTCATGTTTTAATAATCTATTGTCATGCTTTTAAGTACCCTGTTTTATGTGTCGATTAACATACTAACGCAGATGTAATGTACTCGATTATAATTTAACCGCAATGTGTTATTTGATATCATTTTTAAAATGAATATTTTTTAAATGTACTAAATTGCAACTTTGTTACAAATGTGTAATTACAAATTTATTTAAACACAAGTTTCCATAGAAATGCTTGTCAGTACATTCAGCAGTACAATTTCACCGTATTTCTAAGACAATATAAGTAATGTAAATGACATTAAAACAGGGTTAAGTAAAACTAAAACATAACAAAACATTTTCATTTCTTGAAATAAATGTTAACCGAAATGAAATAAAAAGAAAGAAAGAAAAAAGGGGAAAAAAACCTTATTTAAATATTTGAACTTATTTTATTATTATTAACTGAATTGAGAAAAAAATAAAAATAAAAATGACATTAAGTAAAATGAACAAAAGCAGAAAATATAAAAAATATAATAGTTTCTCAAAGATACTAATATTATACTGCTTTAAAGTATATTTTAGTTAAGCATAAATGCTTGTCGGTACATTCAGCAGTACACTTTGATATTTCAAAGACAATAGAATGATTTTTGAAATTACATATAAAGATGGACTTAGGACCTACTTAAGTGGGTCAAAAAAGAACTTTTAAGTTTAACTAATTTAAAATATTTCATATAAATGTAAACTGCAATACATTTCTATTTAATTGTAAATAACATGCAATATTGCATTCACTTCACACTTATATTCACTTAAGAAACTTATATTCAAAGTATATTTGGAAAGTATATTTCCTACTGACACGCTAAATCAAAAGAGATAAGTGGTTGTGAAGCATCTGCACAGCATTGTAGATGTAATGGATTCAAATCCTTCATGCATGGAAAGTTGAGGGAGTTTTCACCATGGCTTTTCAAAGTGCACAAGAATAGCAGTAATAACAGGCCAGAGCAAAAGCAATGATGAAGGATCATCTCCGGCATACATGAGCTCATAACAGCACAAGCCCATAACTTTACACAGGAGAGCGATAGAGCTCAGGCTGCAGCGGGAGATCTTCAGTGTTACTAGTGTGGCTGTGATGAATGCTGGAGCTGAGAGACGGCAGTGACGCTGTGTGTGACTCCTGAGGGATGATGGGAGTGGGCTAGATCTACATCAGGGGCCAGATCCAGAGATGAGCTCATTTATCTGCTGTAGATTATCTGACCTTGCTGTGCATGTGTGTGTTTCTCACTGTTTTTCTCTCCCACCAGACAGAAATAGAGCAAAAACAGGCAATATGGTGTCTAAAACGCAAGTCTCTTAATTAACTTCTTGTTTATTGAACAAACAAAAAAAATCTATATGTAATCATGCTGATTTTTGGAGGAAAAAATGGCACTCTTTGTGTGATATTGATTTACTATACGAAATTAAATTTTCTGCCCCTATATCTTCAATTTTGTGTTCATTCTAAATGCATTTGACTGAATCACGCAGTGAAAGAACGCACTCCAAATGCGCGCGCGGCACTAACGTTAGTCTAGACTTCACGGCACTCTGTGTAGGAGTGTTAGGTTTGGTTTTTGACAAAATACTGATAGTGTCAAATCGCACATCGCTAAAACAACAATTACGATATTATCACAGACGATATATATCGCACACCCCTAGTGCGTGTGTGTGTGTGTGTGTGTGTGTTGGAGGAAAAGAGAAAAATGGAAATCAGTGTTTTTGATTCTTCATAGATTCCATCAAATATATATATTTGTCTGAAAGGATTGGGTCTGATTAAGGGCTGAATTGGAGCAAATCAATTCAAAACAAACGTTTACTTAAAAGCACATTAGCAGTCCAAAGTCTGGACACACCTACTCATTCTAGATGAGGCCTATTTGTCACATTTTAAAATAATAATAAAGTCATCAAAACTATGAAACAACACAAATGGAGGCATGGGAATTATGTAGTAACTGAAAAATGTTAAACAAATGAAAACTAGCTTATATTTGAACTTCTTCAAGAGTTTCCACCCTTTGTCTAGATTCCAGCTTCTAGTCAGATACTGCTTTTAAAAAAAAGAACTGAAGAAGTTTTTATGTTTGATGGACGTGTTGATTCTTCTCCTTGACTATATGATCTTATTAAAATAAATTATCATTTAAAAAAATATAATAATTTATTGTTATTTGTATTATTATTTAAAGATGTTTTGACAGTGTTTTCAAACAATATTTAATTAATCCTAAAAGTGAGTCAATTCACAGTTTAATGAATGGTTTAATGGTTTTATTGAACCTCTTCATGATTATTAAAAATCCTCTAATGTTCCTGAAATATTACATATGTTGTGTGCATGAAAGCATGTTTATGGGTAATTCTTACAGGATTCATACTGTATTAAAACTTTATTTTTTTTAAACTCCATTTTAATTAGGCTACTGGTATTAAAATCACAGCAACACACAGCCTCTAATGATTAAGTGCTTTAGTGCACATTTACATTTATGACACTTTTATCATTTAAATATTTTTTTATATATATACAGTATATATATATATATATATATATATATAGAGAGAGAGAGAGAGAGAGAG